GGTTTTTTTTGTTTTTTTTTTAATTTTTTTTTGGGGGGAGGGGTTTCAAGACAGGGTTTCTCTGTGTAGCTTTGCGCCTTTCCTGGAACTCGCTTTGGAGACCAGGCTGGCTTCGAACTCACAGAGATCTGCCTGGCTCTGCCTCCCGAGTGCTGGGATTAAAGGCGTGCGCCACCACCGCCCAGCCATTAGCTCCGTTTTATATGTAACGTTCAGGAAGATAAGGCCCAGAGACTGACTTGGCCTGGGGTATACAGCATCAGTGGAACCCATTGGTAAATCCGTATTGAATCGGGGTCATGGCACACCTCTTTAATCCCAGCACTCTGGAGGCAGAGGTAGGCAGATCTCTGTGAGTTCAAGGCCAGCCTGGTCTACAGAGTGAGTTCCAGGACAGCAGGGGCTACACAGAGAAACCCTGTCTCAAATATATATATATTCTGTATCACATGCAACTGAATGGAATGTGGAACATGGCAGGGCAAGGTTTCTGTTGTACACTCTGTTCCCTGCTGGAAATGGACAGGGTATGGTTGTTTATTTAGCCTGTCTGGGGGGCAGTGGGAACCCAGAGGCTGGAAGCAGGGACTTGGTACCCACCCCTTATTTCTAGCCCTGCAGCCGTGGATTCTGTTGGCAAAGGGCAGACGGCAGCGTTCAGCTCCAAGGGTCTTCTGCCCCAACAGGTCTCAGCTCTGTAGGGCCCTAAGAGCTAGGAGTTAGGGTTGGGGAACTATTTATTCCTTCTAGAAACCAACAACTGTCAGTGGCAGCAGAGATCAGACACAAGTATTCCTTTAATCTTTTTTCCCCAGAGACAGGGTTTCTCTGTGTAGTTTTGGTGCCTGTCCTGGAACTCACTCTGTAGACCAGGCTGGCCTCCAACTCAGAGACTGGCCTCTTCTGCCTCCAGAGTGCTGGAATTAAAGGCGTGCACCACCACCGCCCGGCTAGTTCCTTTAATCTTTTATGGACCTCAACTCAGGTAAAACCGGATCCTTGGTTTAAGGAAGGAAAGCATTTTGCTGGTGTGAAGAAGAATTGGAGTTTATTAAAAACAGAAAGAGGCCACCGAGTGTGGTGATCTACACTTTTAATCCCAGCACTCAGGAGGCAGAGGCAGGTGAATTTCTGTGAGTTTGAAGGTAGCCTGGTTTACAGAGTGAGTTCCAGGCTAGCCAGGGCTACATAGACCTTGCCAAAAACTAAGAAAGGTGTTTGCTTAGGGAAAGAATAAGACACACGTAAGTCTGGGTATGGGCTTCTCCTAGAAGAGTCACACTTAAGTGTCTTAGGAGTGGGCAAATATGCCATTTTAATGGCTCTCAACATCTCTTAATTTTTTTTTTTTTTCCCGGAGCTGAGGACCGAACCCAGGGCCTTGCGCTTGCTCGGCAAGCACTCTACCACTGAACTAAATCCCCAACCCCATCTCTTAATTTTTTAAAACATTTATTTACTTATGTAGTTATTTATTTGTTTGTCTGTTTATTTATGTGGGGCGGTTTACATTTGCTGCGGCACCCTCACTTGGTAAGAGGATAAGCAGCTTGAGGGAATTGGTTTTCTCCTTGCGCTATGTGGGGCTGGGAATGGAACTCTGGTCCGGAGGCTTGGTGGCAAGTGTCTTTATCTACTAAGCTATCTGGCCACCCATTGCTCTCTGACAATTGGGATTATAAAGTGGGGACCTTGGACAGGATGACAGTCTGATAAGGTAACACCAGGAGCCCTTGGGGTCACACAAGGGCTTTTTCCTGAGACTGACAGATAATTGCAGGTTTTGAGCTGGAAAGAAGCTGGGAGAGAAGTTGACTGGGTTGGATTGCAGATTCTCAGTTGGAGAGAGGCTTCGACCAGAGTCTAGAGGGCTCCTCTCTGTTCCCACACCCTCTTTGTGTGTGTGTGTGTGTGTGTGTGTGTGTGTGTGTGTGTTTGTGTGTGTGTGTGTGTGTGTTCATGAGTATGTCTACATGTATGTGCATGCAGGTATGTGTGTGTAGGCCAGAAGTCAATGTTAAGTGTGTTTCTCTGTTGTTTCCCACCTAGTTAGTATGTGTGTATGTACTTTCATGTGTGAGAACCTGGCACACAGGTCAGAAGACAAGCTTTACCTTCTGGCTTTTTTTTTTTTTTTT